TGGGTGACACCAGACTGACAGGCAAACACTCTCACTCCTGCTGGGAGAATTGGGTCCTGTGGGGACTCTGAGGTGCCATGAAGGAACGACATCTGAGCTTCCCCCTGAGAGTGAGCAACTTTCACCAGGTGGGGGGCATAAGTCAGTCTCCCTAGGGAACACTGGCCACAGGACCTGGGAGACAAAGGGCTGGGCATGGGGAGAGAAGAGGTGGGAGGGTTTGTCTGGACCTAGGACCTGGTTTGGGACAAGGATCAGAACTGAGGATGACTGAGAGCAGAGTGTCTGGGCTGGGGGGGACTCCTGGGACAAGGAGTGGAGGGTCAGTGAATACCCTGTGGGTCCTGAAGGCCAGGATTGTCAAGGAGAGCTGGGCACAGGGCCTGTGAAGGGGGCATCAGGAGGTAGTTGTGTTGTCCTGAGCACCTTGTTTTGGGTGATTGCATTGAAGACATTCCCAAGAAGGACCAAGTGTGCTTGGGAGTGCAGCAGAAAGTGGCTTTGTGCACAGTGATGCAGATGTGCAGTGGGTGCCATGTCACCTCACGCTTGTGTTATAATAATGGAGCTCCCTGTGTGCAGCAGACACAGCAGCTCTGGAAGCACTGTGACAACATGGTGGGCTCAGCTTTCCCAGGTGCTCTCCTGAGGCTTGGAGAGGCCTGGCCTGGTGCTATGTCAGGGTATGGGGCTGTTGGGGCTTTGGTGGCCTCAGGAAGCTGCAAGACTTGGAAAGAAGTTTGGGCTGGTGAGAAGCAACAACAGGAATGGGCCAGAGACATGGGCAGCATGGAGCCAGGAAGGGTAGACGGGGATGCCGGCACTGAGGTCCGAGCCTGGAGCCCATCCCCGGGAGTGTAGCTCGGACAGGGAGGAGAGAAGTCACCTCTAGATAGGTGTGTCTGGAAGGTGGACGTGCTAAGCCAGGGCAGAGAGCTCACCTGGCTGGCAGGAGCCTTCACCTTGGTCCATGCTGGGGTTCCCCTCATTTCTGAAATTGTCCTGCCCCTTTGCCTTACCATACTCACCCTGCCTCATTTCTTCCTGGGATCTGAGTTCGGGGGAGGGGGGTGGTCAGCCTTTCTATACCTGAACCTCCTGGGGTAGACAGTGGGCCAGGCTTCCAGTGAGGGAGTGACTTACTGGAGCACGGCCTCTTCGGAGGCCTCCTGGTCCATTGGCTCTGCCCCATGGCTCACATCAGTGTGTCTGCTGCATTGGAGTTGTCGTGGGATTCTCTGTGACAGACCATCTCAGGGGGAGGGCGGCCTGGAATGGAGTGTGGTCCAGATGACTCCTCTCCTGCTGGGGCATCCCAGGCCCTGAGGCCCACTCTGCCCTTCATTCTGTCTTGTGTGACCCCCATGTTGGTGAAGAGTGAGGCTTGGCAGGGATGGTAGCACCCCATTTTTTCTACACTTTTGGAGTTTCCATGAACGTCTGTTGTGGAATGAACTGTGTCCCTCTAGACTTGTGTGTCAAAGCCCTAACTCTCAAAGTAACTGTTTTTGGAGATGGGACCTTTGGAATGTAATTACAGTTAAATGAGGCTACAGGGTGAGACCCCAGTCCCATAGGGATGGCCTTACAAAAAGAGGAAGAGAGATCTCTTTGCACACACATGGAGGGCAGTCCAGGAAGAGACTTGATCTTGGACTTGCAGCCTCCAGAACTGAGAGTACTTTTCTGTTGGTTAATACCACCCAGTCTGTGATATTTTCATGTGACTGCCCAAGCTGACTCATAAGTAGTCATTTATTTTAGGACCCCCTTTCTGTGGTTTAGCTTTCAGTCGTTTCAACTGAAGTCTGAAAATATTAAATGGAAAGTTCTAGAAACAGTTCTTAATCTCGTGCTGTTTTGAGTAGTAGAGTGAAACTCACACTATCCTGTTCCATCCCACCTGGGATGTTGATCATCCCTTTGTCCAGTGTATCCATACTGTATGCACAGTCTGCCCATTAGTCGCCTGCCTGGTCACTGTCTCAGTCATCAGAGCAGCTCTTGTGGCATCAGAGTGCTTGGGTTTAGTAGCCTGTATTTTACTTAATACAGTAATGGTTCTATTATATTATTGCTTATTATTGTTAATCTCTTGCTGTGCCTGATTTATAAGTTAAACTTTATCATATGTATGTATGCATAGGAAAAATATAACTGTTGCCGGATTTGGTACTATGCAGTTTCAGGCGTCCAATGGGGGTCTTGAAATTTGTCCCCTGTGGATGAGGAGGGACTGCTGTATTGTTCAGCAACACTGATTGGTGACCTGCGGCAGAGAAGATGCATGCCTTGTTTAGTCTGGTGAAGCCGCCTGTAGGGCCTTGTAACCCAGGGTGGAGGCACATGCAGAAATGGACCGACAGTGATGGGCCTCCCCAAATGGAGTTAAACGAAAATAGGACGTTTCCTTTAAATGAGTTTTGTCTAGGGCCTGAAACTTCCTTTCCCAGAGATGGATGGACTAAGTCCACCAGCAGGGTCCTCTTTCTTGGTCCTGATACAAGATCCTGCCTGAGGCCTCTTGTCAGAGGATACCCCACGGGATGACCCAAGCTTACAGTCCTGCAGACACCAGGGTCCTGGTGCTGTCCATCTTCAGGTGAGCTCAGCCCTGCCCAGGACACACTGCACCCTGTGTTGTCACTAGAATCTGTAGCGGTGGCCTTCCCCACCCAGCATGACCCAGGCAGGATCCCTTAGGGAATGAGCCTGCAGAACAGACCTCAAAGTGGGGTTCCTGGGCCGAGGGTCTGACCATGAATGCTCATATCCGAAGTGCCTAGTCTTTACGAGCAAAATGAAAGTGGTCATGAACTTGGTAGTCACCTTTGGATTCTGTGAGTGACACATCTTTCAGGAGGCCGTAGGATCATCTGCAATGTTACGCAGATGTTGACGCCTGTAGTCGAGGCCCACGGTCTCACGCTGTTGGTTATTTTTCACGCCAGCACTACAGCACTGACAGAGCTGTAATTCCTAGGTTACTTAGTGGACTGCTGTTCGTCCGCTGTGAAACACAGGAACACGTGTGCGCAGGCTGCTCTGTGCTTCCCCGCCGAGGGGGCTGAGGCTGTATGGAGGGAAGCAGTGTGTGCAGGAGTTCTGAAGGGCCTGAGCCAACAGAGCCTCCATGTGACAGATCTGGTTACCTCTGAGCGTGTGTGTATGCTTCATGTACAGGGGTGATCGTGTGTGAGCTGTGAGTTCTTGCTTCCTCAGAACGTGAAGCCCTTCGTTTGCACATGGGAAAGTGTGGATGCCTGCTGGTGCTCCCATCAGCCCCTGGCATCCTCCCACAGGGCACTAAGATGTTCCCTGTCCCTCCTGTCACCCCTCTTGAAAACGTGTGTGCTCTCTGCCATGTTCCCTTGGGATCTGGCTCTGATAATGTGATAATGAATGACTGTATTTAATGAGACACCCCTCTCAGGTCATATTGGTGCATTTTAATAGGGCTTTCTGGAGAATATCTTAACCCCAAATTTCCCATGTTGTTGATGGAACACTAGTTCAGCTGGTTGATCTCTTAGAGAGAGAGAGAGAGAGAGAGAGAGAGAGAGAGAGAGAGAGAGAGAGAGAGAATGAGAGAAAGGAAAAGGAAAGAGGACAGAAGGAAGGAAGGAAGAAAGGAAAGAAGGAAAGAAGAAGGAAGGGAAAGAAGGAAGGAAGGAAAAAATGAAAGAAGGAAAATAAAAGTATTTTGCTCAAATAAGTTTAGGAAGTGTTGCATGTCACAATCTCCCCTTGGTAGCAAGATATGTCACATAAAAGGGTCTAAAATGACCTGCAGCAAAATAGGTTTTGTGTCACCTCATCTGCCCTCCATCTCTAGCCTTTCCACTCAAGGGGCAGATGATGGCCTGCAAGTTCTCTGGAAACGCTGCCTTCAGCCCAAGAAGGCTCTCTGCAGTGCAGTTAGCAGTCTGTACCAGGCTGATGAAGCATATCCTGTTGCCTTCTCTAATTAAAAACTATTACAGAAAGGTATCCATATCATAAAAGCACCCTTTTGACTGCGAGCGTACAGTGCAGTAGTGTCAGAAGCAATCCCATGGCTGGGCATGCCCCACCTCCTGTCTCCAGAGTGTCTCCGTCTTGTAAAGCAGAAACTGTAGCTGTGAAACATCAACTCTCCATTCCTTCCCCCCCCCCCGGCCCCTGCTGCTCGCCATTTCCTTTCTGTATCTGAACTTCCCTGTGACGAGGAAGTCGCCTAAGTGGAATCACACAGTGCTTGTCCTTTCACTTAGCGCAGTGACTTCTTGGCTCCATCACATCGTTGCAGGCGTCTGCATTTCCTTCCTTTTTAAGGCCAGGAGGTGTTCCTTGGTGTGGTTAACTGCATCTGTTCATCCAGCATCACCGATGGACATTTGGCTTGCCTCTCCCTTTTGGCTATGCCGCATGGTACTGCTTTGGATAACTCAGGTGTCGCAGTGACTCTTGATGACAGTATGTTGCTGTGTGTGTGTGTGTGTGTGTGTGTGTGTGTGTGTGTGAAAACCAGGGCATTTTTTTGTTGTTGTTTGCTATAAAGGAGTATTTTCATTTATGGAAACAATATAATATGGCCTGTGAAATATCTTGCCCTAAAAGTTGATGGTCAGGTCTTTCCTGATGGGTATTTCTAAATATTTCATATATAAAATCATAGGGGCCTTGCAGATGGTGGCAGGAGCAGCCTGTAGGAGTTCTTGAGGTCATGGCTGGGTTCCTCACCCTTCCTGCCCAGCTTCCTTAGCCAAATGGGCATCTTTAAGAAAGGGACGATGGAACCCCGCGGTTTGGGCTGCTTTGTGGAGAAAGAGGGGAGACTGTCTCTGTGAGCCCTCACTCCCGCCGTGCTGCAGCACAGTGGGCAGACAGGGGGTTGAGGTGGCCTTGGAGCCTGGGAGCCCAGCTGAAAAACATCTTTTTAAAAATCACCTAACTGCCGGGAGGCCGTGTCCTTGAAGATGATTTACTCCTCCTAACCTGGCTTCATTTTTCTCTCCTAGCTTACGTTCCTGAGGAGGAATTGAAGGCGGCAGAAATAGATGAGGAGCACGTGGAGGATGGCAGGCTGTCTTTGGACATTCAGGAGAGCGAATTCGTGTGCAATGAAGAGACAGAGATCAAAGAGGCCCAGAGCTACCAGAACTCCCCTGTCAGCACTGCCACCAACCAGGATGCTGGCTATGGGTCACCCTTCAGTGAGAACAGTGACCAGCTGGCCCATTTCAAAAGCTCTTCCTCGAGAGAAGAGAAAGACCTGCAGGGTCCAGACAGCGTCTCGTACCCCCCGGACAGCTTGGCACAAATCAAAGCCGTGTACGCCAACTTGTTCTCGGAGTCCTGTTGGTCCAGCCTAGCTTTGGATATTAAGACGCCCAGTTCCACCACCAGCAATGACGCAGGGCAGAAGGAGAGCTCCGCGCACCGCCACCCCGCCCACCAGTACCGCCTGCACCGCCAGTACCACGGCAAGCGCGGCCAGCACCAGCACCAGCACCAGCTCTAGCCACAGCAGCACCACCAGTAACAGCAGCAGCTCGGGCTATGACTGGCACCAGGCCGCCCTGGCCAAGACGCTGCAGCAGACGTCGTCCTACGGGCTGCTGCCGGAGCCCAGCCTGTTCAGCACCGTGCAGCTGTACCGGCAGAACAACAAACTCTACGGCTCCGTGTTCACTGGAGCCAGCAAGTTCCGATGCAAAGACTGCAGTGCTGCCTACGACACCCTGGTGGAACTGACGGTGCACATGAACGAGACGGGCCACTACCGTGATGACAACAGGGACAAAGACTCCGAGAAGACCAAGCGGTGGTCCAAGCCCAGGAAGCGCTCCCTGATGGAGATGGAGGGGAAGGAGGATGCGCAGAAGGTGCTGAAGTGCATGTACTGTGGACACTCCTTCGAATCCTTGCAAGACCTCAGCGTCCACATGATCAAAACCAAGCATTACCAGAAAGTGCCTCTGAAGGAGCCAGTGCCGGCCATCACCAAACTGGTCCCTTCTACCAAGAAGCGAGCACTTCAGGACCTGGCATCTCCTTGTTCCCCCGAGCCAGCGGGCATGGCCACAGAGGTTGCGCTGAGTGAATCGGCCAAGGACCAGAAAACTGCAAACCCGTACGTCACTCCGAATAACCGCTATGGCTACCAGAACGGTGCTAGTTACACGTGGCAGTTCGAAGCCCGCAAGGCGCAGATCCTCAAGTGCATGGAGTGCGGGAGCTCCCATGATACCTTGCAGCAGCTCACGGCGCACATGATGGTCACGGGTCACTTCCTAAAGGTGACAACCTCTGCGTCCAAGAAAGGGAAGCAGCTGGTGTTGGACCCTGTGGTGGAAGAGAAGATCCAGTCAATACCCTTGCCTCCCACCACCCAGACCCGGCTACCAGCCTCCGGCATCAAGAAGCAGCCAGATTCCCCCATGGGCTCAGAAGAAAAGAAAGAGCCAGAGAAAGAGAAGGAGAAGGCGCCAGTGACTGGAGACTCAGAAAGGAAGATCAAGGAGGAGAGCGAGGACACCACTGAGAAGTTTGAGCCCACTGCCCTCTACCAGTACCTGCGTGAGGAGGACCTGGACGACAGCCCCAAAGGAGGCGTGGACATTTTGAAATCCCTTGAGAACACTGTATCCACGGCCATCAGCAAAGCTCAGAACGGCGCACCCTCGTGGGGTGGCTACCCCAGCATCCACGCGGCCTACCAGCTGCCGGGCACCGTGAAGCCTCTGCAGCCGGCCGTGCAGAGTGTGCAAGTGCAGCCAACCTACGCCAGCAGCGTGAAGTCCTTGTCCTCCACAGAGCATGGTGCTCTCCTGCACTCCCCAGGGAGCCTCACACCCCCACCGCACAAGAGCAATGTGTCGGCTATGGAGGAGCTAGTGGAGAAGGTCACCGGCAAGGTCAGCATCAAGAAGGAGGAGAGGCCCACTGAGAAGGAGAAAAGCTCCCCTGCCAAGGCTACCTCCCCGGTGGCAAAGGAGAATAAAGATTTCCCTAGGTCAGAAGAAACTGGCAGCAAGCCACCGAAGAAAGGCTCTGACGCTGAGACTGGGAAGGCCAAGAAGGAGGGTCTAGTGGATGCCCACACCCCAAATGGCACAGAGCCTCTCAAAGCCAAGGTTACCAATGGTTGTAGCAACCTGGGAATCATCACGGACCACTCCGCAGAAACTTCCTTCATCAACCCGCTGAGCGCTTTGCAGTCCATCATGAACACCCACCTGGGCAAGGTGTCCAAGCCCGTGAGCCCCTCCCTGGACCCGCTAGCCATGCTGTACAAAATCAGCAACAGCGTGGTGGACAAGCCGGTCTACCCCTCCACCCCCGTGAAGCAGATTGACGCCATTGACCGCTACTACTACGAAAACAGCGACCAGCCCATAGACCTGACCAAGTCCAAGAACAAGCCTCTGGTCTCCGGCGTGGCCGATTCCGTGTCGTCGCCCCTGCGGGAGAGCGCCCTCATGGATATCTCCGACATGGTGAAAAACCTCACGGGCCGTCTGACTCCCAAGTCGTCCACCCCCTCCACGGTGTCGGAGAAGTCGGACGCAGATGGCAGCAGCTTCGAGGAGGCGCTGGACGAGCTGTCCCCGGTCCACAAGAGGAAGGGACGGCAGTCCAACTGGAACCCACAGCACCTGCTTATCCTGCAGGCCCAGTTTGCCTCAAGCTTGCGGGAGACGGCGGAGGGCAAGTACATCATGTCAGACCTGGGCCCTCAGGAGCGGGTGCACATCTCCAAGTTCACGGGCCTGTCCATGACCACCATCAGTCACTGGCTGGCCAACGTGAAGTACCAGCTGAGGAGGACAGGGGGGACGAAGTTCCTCAAGAACCTCGACACAGGGCATCCTGTTTTCTTTTGCAACGACTGTGCCTCTCAATTCCGAACTGCTTCCACGTACATCAGCCATCTGGAGACGCACTTGGGCTTCAGCCTGAAGGACCTCTCCAAGCTGCCTCTCAGTCAGATTCAAGAGCAGCAAACTGTCTCCAAAGTCCTGACTAACAAGACTCTGGGTCCGCTGGGGCCTGCAGAGGAAGACCTGGGCTCCACATTCCAGTGCAAACTCTGCAACCGGACTTTTGCGAGCAAGCACGCAGTCAAACTGCACCTTAGTAAGACGCACGGCAAGTCGCCAGAGGACCACCTGATCTATGTGACCGAGCTGGAGAAACAATAGCGTCCAGGTATGCAAGTGACCGCCGAACATTGCACTAACCGTCATCGTCATACTGCACTAGGCCTGGCCTGAGCCGCTGAAATCAGTCTTTCCTTTGTTTGAACTGCCTGTCTGGACCTTGGTTTTTCTTACACATATTTTGTAGTTCTATTTATATGCTCTTTGTCTGATCTGTGCATGTTATTTTTCTTTTTTCCGTGAGTCAAAGTCTGACCTTTATTTCCAACATCTGTTCTTGATGTTAGCTATCTTTTGTAGGAAATAGTGGGGCACACTACTCAGAGGCGTTATTTAGCAGTAAAGAAAGACACAAATAGCAAGGATAAAAAGACGTCCGAAAGTTACGAAGTTGCCATGACAATAAAGGTCATAGAATCTGGTAGTGTCAAATTTAACCCTTTGAGGACTGTCATTGCATCTCTGTGCCTTTCACTCAAAAATAAGAAAAAAAAAAGAAAAAAAAAGGCTTAAAGGCATTTCATTCAGATCAAAAGCAGTGTCAGACACAAAACTTATTTAATAATTAAAAAACGAGCTTTCATGCAGGACTGGTTTGTCAGGGAAGCATGCATGCAGCAGACGGAAGACAGAAAGCTGTCCAGGACGTACCTGTGGGGTTAGGAAGCCACACCTGTGCACGTCCGAGCAAAACACAACAGCAGCAAACACCCTGGTCACCACTATGCCCAAACCCTCTGGATGCCGAAAACGCCACTTTTGGCTAAAAAAAAAAAAAAACAAAAAAAAACAAAAAAAAAAAGAAAAGGAAAAAAAAGTATGCAAGCTATTATTTAAAAAAAAAAGTGTAAAAATGCTATTTCTTTTTTCCTGTAAAATACTGCGGTTTATAGTTATTTACAAATGTAAGCTTTGGTACAAGCTGACCTTTCTATGGCGTGCTGCATTGGTAAATGGGAAAACAAAAACAAAAACAAACAACGGAGGGCAAACATTGAAGGCCTTCCTTGTAAATTGCAGACATCAGCTTAAACACTCCTGTAATGTTACATATCGCATCATTTTAATCTATTCAACTTTCTTTGTACCTTCTGGCTGTATGCTTTCTCTTTTAACTTTTTATATTGTCATTTTATATTAAATTTCTGTGTACATAATGTAAAACCACAATTTTTGGATAAAATTTAGTTCTTGCAGCTTGATTTAAATAGAGGACTTTTGCTGGCACCTGCATCTTCCCAAGATGCATGTACTCAGAGGAACTATCAGACAAAAATAAATAAATAAAAGCAAAGCAAACAATGCACTATTAATTATACATTTTGATGTTCTGTCATTAATATTGTACAGTACATTTTGGTTCACACAATTAAATCCACTGTTTTCTCAAATGTAAAATAAACCCACACGCAGTTCTTGATTTACACGGATCGTCATGTCATCATTATTTTGCCTTTGAGATGTTATTTCAGCAACAAGAGGTATTACTTATGCAATCAACCAACAAAAATTCTATTCAGAGTCATCATTTCATGATCTGTGTGCTGACATGCTTCATTCAGATGATAAGTATTGCATTTTTAAAAGTGATAATTAAAAATTTTACCTCCACTGGGTGCCAAGGATTACTGTGTTTACCCATTCAGGAAAGCTGCTTTCTTTTCTACCTGGATGGGCTGGGGTGTTTCCTTCAGAGATCCTTTCATACTGCTTAGAGACATTTGCTATTAACCTTTGTGTCCATCTGGGAACTTCCTGGTGGGGTAGCAGGAGAGGTCTTACTCTAGCAGCACAGACCCCAGGGATCTTGGAATTACATCTGTGCTGCTACCAAGAGGAGAACCTGATTTGTGAGCTTTTAAAAACATACAATTTAAAAAAAAAAAAAAAAGCACAAAACGCCCTGCCTGCTTTTTCGTTCATTGTCTGAGACAAGAGCATAGAAGGCGGCTCCCTGGGGAACACTGGACCTGTCCTGTCAGTGCTCTGGCCCATCCCTGACAGTCCAGAACTCGCAGCCTCTGTCCACTTTCTGGAAATCTAGGACTGAGGCTCTCTGGCCTCTTCCCTAGAAACACCGAATGAATAACACAAATGGGAAATTTTACTTTCTTACCTTTTGCTTAAATTTTCATCAAATTACATCCTGAGCAAGGATGGAACTTACACACCTTTCAGAGCAGCTAAGCAGTTGTGATACTTTAATTATTTCCCTGGCTTCGCCTGTGATGCCAGGACCATTGTGCTTCCACTAATGACGGGAGGAGGAGGTGCGGGTCCAGGTGGGTCATGTTTGCACAGGCTTCTGACTAATGCACACAGCGCAGGAGGTCTGTTGGATTTTTCTGACTTTTTTTCATTGGTAAATAGTTGTGTCCTTTAGGGGGTCTCAGCCCTTAGACATTTCAGGGCAATTCCTAGGTGATTATGTACTTTGGGCTCAAGAGGTGACAGAGAGGAATAACAATTAGGCCAACGAAGGTAGCGTGGGGTCTTTGCATAATTGTCCTTGCAAGCTGTATTTATTTTACTGCAGACCCACCCACATTTCACCCTCATTGAAAGAGTCGTGAAGCTGCAGGTGAAGTGGTGTCATGGCAGGTGAGAGCGTCCAGCAGGGGCTGGGTGAGGCTGAGCTCTGATCCCTGGGACGGATGCAGAATTCTGAGTTTCCTCTCTTAATAATTTTTCTCTGTAATTCCTCAACGTACTGCCATATTGTCATTAGAGCCTAATTCTCCATCAGTGGGTCGGAGCGTAAGTTATCTTAGCACCAATGAAGATGGGGAGTCCACGTGTGTCACTGAGTCTTAACTGTGTTGTCAGGCTGTGTTCTCAGTGCTCTGCACTGAGGTCTTATTCCTTTGTCACACCTTGGAGCTGGGTCCCATGAGTGTCACTCCTAGTTTTCAGCAAAGTGCAAGCACAGCATTTGAGCACTTGTCCATGTCACGTGGCTTGTGATGGTTTTGAGCCCCCAAAACTCTTGCAATAGCATCCTTACTCTTCATCGTCTCTGATTTGGGCCCCCTGAAGAGGCCAGGGAGTTTTCTATGGGATGGGGAGTTAGAGCCCACCCTAAGAAGTTGCAGATGGAGCAGGAGGGTGTTAGGCCTGGATTGGTGGGTAGAAGTGAGAGCAGCTTTGGTGAGCAGAGGGCCCTGCGTCCTTCCAGTCACCTTCAACTGTGGCTCTGTCTTCCACTGGATCTGAAGAATAGTTGAAATGATGTTCATTATGAGTTTGCAACAGTGTCATTGCAAACACAGAAACTCAATTTGCACAGACAGAGATAGGCTAGATAACCCAGGGAGCAAGTTAAATGCCCACACCTTTCTACTTCCTTCATCTGTGCTAGACAAGCATCCATCCCTTCCGTCTGTCCCAGTGCACGGGCTCCTCTCATGGTGGGAGGACCTGGCTGCCCCTCCTGAGGCCTCCTTTAGTCCAGGACAATGGGATCTGCCTTTTCTGTAGCTTAACAACAAAGTGGCCCTGTGCAGCTGAAGAGAGCTATCCTCCATTTTGCTGTGGGTGTAGGACCAGCATTTTTGTTGGGTGAATCTGTCATTGTGCACATGCAACAATAGCCATATTTTGCATTATTTTTACAGCCTAAGCCTTGGGTTTAGTAACTAATCAAATATTTTCCCTTCAGATGTAGAATTTTTAAAAGCTTGTGGTGTTTCTCAGAGCATGCATTGCTGTTAGTATTTGAAGAGGAATAAGGCAAGGAAATACTGGGAGACGATACTGTATGTAAGAGAAACAAACTTTTAAGCAGTGTGCGAAAAAGGGAGGGATTAAAAGCTTTATAATTTATGTCTCTCTATTTCTACAATTGATAGTCATTAAGAAGCCACTAACATTAGTCTAAAGCATGTCGAAACCACTTCAAAATTTTTAGAAACCTGTGCATACAATAAAACTTTCTGCTTTTCTCTGAGGTATAATTTTTTGGTTATTTGTATTTTTATAACCTCTCTAAAGATGGGGAATTCTATTAAAAACTAATTATTGAACTATAAGCTGAAAAGATGTCAAAGAGCAAAAACTTTTGGGGAAAACTGGTGCTTTTTACAGAATTTTATTCTTATGATAAAAGTGTCACATAATTGTTGCATAAAACTTGGAAAACGAAAAACAGGAAGGAGGAGATAAAAAGTACTATTGTCAGAAAAGTCATTGTTAATAGTTTTGTGCTAATATCTTTTTTGACATAATTTTGTAACTTGCTTTTTTTACTTGACAGTCAGCAATGTATATTTCCTCAAATTCATTAAATTTACTGAGAAGTTTTAATCTGATTAGGATACATGTTATTTATTTAATCAATCCTCTTAGTTAAAATTTTAACAAGCAACACTTAGATTCTTTTCAGATTTTTCACTATTACAAATAAGATTGCAAATATTTGGCTCAGTATTTTTGTCAATGTTTCTGATTATTTCCTTAAAACAAGTACTTCAAATTGAAATTTCTGCTTTAGCGTGACAATGCGAGAGGCTGGATTGCCTATGTGTGCCAGCTCACACTAGTCACTGGTTCTGTGTAACTTTGCTTTGTAAACATGGTGGTGGGGTGTGTTAAAAAGTTTTTGGCCATTTTCACTAATTGACCAATATAATTTTGCTATTTTTACCTTACAATGTTTTCAATGGATAGTGCCCATTCTATTTTATTTAAAGAAAAGAGCTTTAGAACATGTATGATGTGGAGTACCTTCATGGGATTAGGATTTCGTTTAAATTCGGGTGGTCAAGGTGCATGTCCTGCAGATAACCCAACAGCTAGGAGGAGAGACAAGGCTTCCCGAGTCCCGTGGACTAGCAGGTAGCCATGTACTTTAATCCTCTTCTCTCTTTTCAGTCCACAGTACTGTGTCATTAAAATGTCCCCAGTGACTTCAAGATAATTAGGTACTTTCGAAGTGTCTCCAAATTGCCCAGTCTGCTAAATCAGAAGAAAAGTTACAAATTCTATAACTTAACGTTAGCAGTTTACAATTAGTGAAACAAAAAGAGATCTTAAAGCAGGCTACTCAGTAAGATGAGGTTGACCACCTAGGGTGGTCTCCATAAGATAAAACACTTGTATGACCACTGGAAGACCAGAGAGGCCACAGCAAAATCCTCTATCAGGAGTAGCTCCCACTGGCGAGGTAGTTTCATAGCTGAAGTTCACAGGTATTGCTGGCTGAGAACCTAACGGAGGTGACACAGGTTTCTGATGGACACCTCTAGAGGCCAACAGCCAAGGACAAAGATGACATGTAAGGCCTCTCACCTCTTCAGAGTACCTGGGATTGGTTCTCTTCCATAAAGAGAATAAGTTTTCACCAACAACTATTTAGATGCTGACCCATTGTCTTCTGGTGAAAAGGGTGATGAGTTACAGGTGTTTTACTTCAAACAGCAAAATCAGTGGGCCTACGTACTTGATTTTGTCAAAATACTGGCAATATGGGACATATCATACCTAAATGGCAAATAAAATGAGT